GGGGAGGGGAGCAGAGGGTGAGTCAGGAGAGGTCTGCCGCGCCATGTGGGTATCTCGAGGGCCAGGATTGAACCCGCGCTGCAGAGGCTGCAGACAGCTTCACAGCACTGCACTCAACCACCTGTGCCACCAGGGGAGGCCCCTGATCAATATTTCTTTTAAAAACTTTCTTCACAGGGCCTCCCCTGCTGGTACAGGCGGTTGAGCGCCACGCTGTGAAGCTGTCCGCTGCCTCTGCAGTGCGGGTTCGATCCCGGCCAATGAGGGTCACACATGGTGTAGCAGACCTCTCCTGTCGGGCCCGCTGCTCCCCTCAGCAGTGTATTTTGTCAGTCTGCCTGTTCTGTTCCCCACTCTGTCTCTGGTGAATCCTCTCACCCTCCTGCACATCTGGCCTATACCCTGGTTCTTGTACAAAATAAATAAATAAATCTTTTTTAAAAATAAGTAAAATCTTTCTTTACTGAAAGACTCCATTAAAGAAAATGAAAAGGTAAGTCACAAAATAAAGGAATATATTTATGGTTCACTTCTGACAAGGACTTAAATTCAGAATACATGAACCTCCTAAAACTTGATAATAAGCACAAAAACATAATTTTTTAATATTGGCAAAAGCTTTGAATACTTACATCTAAAAGTCCATGAGATGATGCTCAACATCTCAGTTGAGAGGGAAATGCTAATTAGAACTGCCATGAAAAAAACACTTTAAAGTGTGGGCAGGACTCAGCAGGGAAAGCTCTGACCTCTCCAAGAACAAACTGTGAGACAAAGCACTAACCCAGAAAGAAGCAGCATCCTCCTTTTCCCCAACCCTCTGACCTCTGCCCTCTCTCCCTCAGCCATCTGAGGTGCACCCACTACATTGAGCAACATGTGAAAGTCTAACAATATCAAGCATTAGCCCAGCTCTGTGAAGGCCAGATTAGTCACACATTGATGGTGGGTGAAGCAGACAATACACTTTCCTTATAGACAGTTCAGTGGTTTCTTTAATAACTGAACCACATGCCGCAGCTAATTCACTTCTGGGTATTTCCCCAAGGGACACATTCCAGGCAACAGATGTTCCTAGTAGCTTTATCCTCCCTCTGAGCCAAGCTGTGGCACTCCTGAGGGTCTACTCTCTCCCTGCAAGAGTCCCCGTGGCCTCTGATGTTCATTGCACCACTATTCACAGTGGCTAAGTTGTGGGAATGAATTAAGTCCCAATGACAGATGAGTAAGTTAAAAAGAAGTGGCACATATATACACAATGGAATACTACTCGGCTGTAAAAAAGATGAACTCTTGCACTTGTCGCAAGGCGGATAGAACTGGAGAGGATTTTGCTGAGTGAAATAAATCAGAAGGACAAAGACAAATGCTGGATGCTTTCACTCATGCTTGGAGTGCAGAGAAACTGAGCAAAGGAACAGACAAAGTTAAGCCAAAATAAACTCTAGAAATCTGAACGTAGAATTGAAGCTACCAGGGGAAGGATGAGGTTTGTGCAGGGAGCCCGTGGACTGTGCAAGGTTACTGGGGCTTAGAGGGTGGACATGCTATGGCAACAAACATCTAGGGGAACTGGACATTAAGTACCAAGTAAAAACCACCTGGGCAGGGAAGAAAGACATCAGAAGAAAGGAACAACTTTCTTCAACTTTCTGAACAATAAACCCTGGGTTTCATCCCACACAGAGTCCCATGAGTGACCTAGCCAGACCTAGACCATCGCCAAATTATTTGACCTCTGACATATTTCACTTCCCGTCCACCACTGCGTCCTCTCCTGACAGGGGGCTGAAATGTGCAAAAAGAATCAACTTTTCAAATTCCTGCTACACTGTGGACCACCCGCACACTGAGCACCCCCTCCCCCAGCCTTTCCCCCTTTGGAAGCTCTTTCCAAGGGTCTTCCCTCCAAAGGGGAAATGAGGAAGCAGAGCAGCTATCATGGTCATTTGATAAAGAACAAAAGCTTTTTCTAGGCAAGCAGCAGCACTTCCGGGAATTGTTAGCAATGAGCCCAGAACAAGAGTGTGGGCAGGGCTCAGCAGCGGAAGCTCTGACCTCTCCAAGAACAAACTGTGAGACAAAGCACTAACCCAAAAAGAAGCCCTATCCTCCTTGTCCCCACCCCTCTGACCTCTGCCCTCTCCCTCAGACATTTGATGTGCTTCTAGAGCTCCCTCTTTCTACAAGATTCTGTCCCAGATTTCCATTCTCCCATTCTGTCCTGGTGGCACCAGGATCCCCACGCTCAGTGACTCTGCACAGATCCCCACTCCATCCTTCCCGCCCCTGACAACCCAGCCCTGGGGTCTGACTTGCGATATTCAACCACAGCAGCACCCAGGTCCCCCGTCCTGAGCCCTGGCCAACTATCCCTTCGCCTTCCACGCTGGACCAGGGGCTTTGGAGCCTCTATGGCCACCGGGCTCTGTCTTACGACCCCAGAATGGTGGTGGAATTGAAGGAAGCCTCATGACCATGGTGGGAAGATGCAGGACCCAGCTGAGGCCGGCAATGCACTAATGAAGATCAAAGGCTAACCCAGAATACAGACGTTGATGGGGTCATTCCTTCACCCCAAAAGGAAAACATGCCAGACCTCTGCCCTGTGCAGTCACAGTCACCCTCATGCTCTGTGTGCTGACAAAGTTCAGGGTGTGGGTGGGAGGACTTGAGGCTCAGACCCTCTCACCAGCTGGATGGTCCCCAAGACCCCATGATGCTTCTGACCTCTGTCCTCTCTCCCTCAGCCATCAGATGTGCTCCCAGAGCTCCCTCTTTCTAGAAGAGTCTATCCCCAGATAGGTTTTGGGCCATCCAGGGGCTGATCTTCCCTCAGCAGCAGGGTCGTCTCCATCCCCTGGGCTTCATTCCAGGATAACACACTCTTCAGAACACCCTGGTGCTGACAATCTATCCTAAAGGGAAATCCTCAAAGGGCCCTTCTGTCATGACGTCCTCCTGGTCCTGCCCCAGCAGGTGGCGCTTTCCTCCTCTGAGCCCCTCAGCCCAGCCCCGCACAAGCACCGTCCGTGTTACTCAGCATTGGTGTGGGGCTGCTGTTTCCTACACTGGAAAAAGGTTTTACTGAGAAGAGGGAATAAAATACCCATCATTAAAATGAGAGGCCCACGGAAGTGCAAATGAAGAGCTGATCCATGAGAAAGCTTGCCACATATTTGAAGAGAGAGAACAAAAGAAGTTGTGAAATGACAATAAAAATATGTGTATCCTGTTGAACGATGTCTGGGACACAGCGTTACCAAAAAAATGGACATTTCCCATACTTACTACATATCTCAGGATTATTCCCCTTCATCCTTACAATTCCCCTAGAGTGGGGCTGTCACCAACACTTGTGTTTTACAGTTGAGAATCCTGTGGGGAAAGTAACTTGCCGAAAGTGACACTTTGACAGAGCCAAGATTCCAGGTCCGGCACACCAGCCACAGAGAAAGTGAACCTGATTCCTGGAGGTCTTGGACTCCCCATAATATTCAGAGCACCCCCTTGTGCGCAAGGATCTCCGACATGGTGGGTACATTGGGTGCTGACCCATCTCAGAGCCCACAACAGAGGCTCAGCTGCTAACACTACACATGCAGCTGTGCATCCGCTGACCGCGTGGCAGGGACACAGGTGTCTCCTGTGTTCATTACTGTTTCCTCCCGACAGGCATCGTGACACCATCACAGCGCCCCGCGGTTCCTGAGGCGCCCGCGCGCCCCGTGGGTGCTCCCCTCACAGCCCGTGCGAGCTGACCAGGATGAACGGACAACACACACTGTGAGCTGCTGACCTCAGGTGAGAGTGGAGGGGCCGCTCCTTGACACGGGATCCGGGTGCATGTGGCTCCATCCACAGCGGGGGGCTCTCTCCTGAGAGGGAGGGAATCCCTGGGGAGCTCAAGCTGGGGCTCCAGGCTGAGGAGGCGCAGAAGAGGGGAGGGGCTCATGATGGCAGTTTCTAGAAATGAGTCCTGGAGAACTGGTCTTCGCAGCCTCTTGACCGTTTTGAACTAGAGGCATTTCTCTCCCGCACACGCTTTGCTCCCCCCACTCCCTTTACTTCACTGTTACATTGGGTGACACGGGATGTAATGGACACTCTGAAGATGACAGGAGGAACACCCCACCCTGCTTCCTCCCTCCATGGAGTCCTCAGTTACCTGCAAGTCAACACCTGTGAGGACTGGACAATCTGGAGGCCCACAAGGGGCAGGTAAGACCTCTGGGGTCTGTTGCAACAGAGAAACCCCCAGGAGCTTCCACTCCCTGCTTGTTCCCTGCCAGCACCACCTCAAAAAGGGGTTCTGGGGGGAGACAAGCCCTGGGAAGGGAAACCAGCCCAGCGGGAGGGTCTCTGGGGGCAGATGAGCAGCTCGCTGAGAGGGTCATGAGGAACCCTCTGGAAGGTTTCCTGGAGCCACATGGTGCTGCTCCTTCCCAGGGTCTGTCCAGGTTCTGGGGCTGATGTCTCCAGTGTCCCTGTTTCCCGGTCACAGATTTCGGGGCGCCCAACCGTGGGGTTGCTGGTTTGTGTTCCTGAGGAAACCCCCCCCTCCGCGATCCAGCGCCCCTGGCCCCCCCCACCGCACCCCCGCGCCCCGCCCCGGGTCCCCTGCGCCCTCCCTGCGCTTCCAGGCGGGCCCGGCAGGCACCGGGGGGCGCTTGCTCACCCCCCTGAGACGTGAGCCCGCGCCCCCGCCCCGAGACGCGCCCGCAGCGGGGTCGGAGCCCGGGGGTGCGGGGGACCCGCGGGGGCTGCTCCCGGCCCGGCCCCGAGGCGGGTCCCGCGGGGGGCGGCGGCTGCGCGCGGGGCCGGCGCAGGGGCTTCCCGGGCGCGCGGGGTCCTCAGCCCGGACCCCGCTCTGCCCGCCCGGCCCGGCTTCTCCCCGGACCCCGGACACAAAATACTTCGTTTCGGGCCATTCACGTCTTGTGCCCGCGCGCGAACCCAGCTGCCCAGCGGTGCCCAGCGGTGCCCGAGGTGCCACCTACCTCAGGGTCGCATTCGGGGGAGGGGAGTAGCGGGCGCATCGCCACTGGACCTCCTCGGAGAAACTCAGCTGCCTGAAACAATAGTACCAGACCAACACCGCTGCCACCACCAGGACGATCACCCCTGCAGAGACTCCCGCACAGACACGCTTCATAGCGCTGGCCTTGGGGACCCCGCGGGGGGCAGCCAAGCTGCAGGGAGGTGGCGGAGGGAGGAGCTGACCGGAGAGGAGCCAGCGAGACAGCCCGGCTACTACACTGCCCTTCCCGCCCCTCCCCGGCCTTTTCTAGGTTCACTTCCCCTCTCCGCCCCCTCCCAGCCCGCGGCTGCCTGACCAGGGACTTAATTCAGTTGACAACACCCGCTGCCTGCAGACTCCCCAGCAGAGGGACACCGATGCCCCCCAGTGAGAAAGGACCCCCCCTCACCTCAGATATTAGCCCCCACACGCCCCCTGCCCGGGTCCCCGGCAGCCCTTGTGCTGCCCCCACAGCCTGGGCTGGACTGCAAGGGCGGCCTCTGCGCCTCTGCCCCAGCAAAGGCTCCGCCTGCCCAGGAATGGGCTACAGCCCCTGTCAGGGGCCAGTGCCTCTCAGCACCCCAGAAAGACTCCCCCTAACCTTCCCCTTCCCTCAAGTGGCCTCAGACCTAAGGCCAGGCTGCAAACCCAGCTGGACCTCCCACTGCCTGGGTGACTGGAGCTAGTTACTTGGCCTCTGGGCTTAGATGTGGAGCAGATGACAGCAGGGCCTCCTGCACCAGGTCACTACGAGGATGTGCTGATTCCTCTACACAGAGTACTCAGCTCCACGCCTGGCCTCCCTAAACATTAGCTATCACTACCTGCTCCCTGATGCTGTGGATGGGGTACGATTTTATAATCCACCGGGTGTGCTGGGAACAATGCCCGGCGTGCAGTAAGCACAATAAACAGTGGATCAATAAACAATCAGGTGGCTTTTCACAGACAGGCCTCCCTCTTCTCCCTCAAGGACTAAGGGAGAAGGGCTGAGCACAGGGACTCTGTAACATTTCTTTTTTTTTTTAAGATTTATTTATTTATGCATCTAAGAGATGGAGTACAGGCCAGAAATGCATTGGGAGGTGAAAGGAGTCACCAGAGACAGAGCAGGGAACAGAACAGGCAGACTGACGAAACACACTGCTGGCAAGCGGGTGAACCAAGAGAGATCTGCTGCGCCATGTGGGTATCTCCCTGGCCAAGGATCAAACTCGTGCTGCAGAGGCTGCAGATTGCTTCATAGTGTGGTGCCCAACCCCTTGTGTCACCAGGGAGGCCACAGTACTCTGACATTGCGACAGAGACCTCAGGAAAATGACAGATCAGGCCACAGGACTTCCTGGGGCCAAAGTTTTGCAAACAGAGGGACTAGTACCCACTTTCTCACGGTCCCAGAGACAGCAGGAGCCACCAGAGCAGGGAGGCAGGTGGAGGGAGGCAGAAGGGGAGAGAGATGCAGAGGCAGACAGAGGGCAGGTCACCCCAGGACCTGCAGGGGGAGGGAGGGCTTGGGGCTGTGGCTGTTACTATTCACCCTTTCAAGGTCCCCGCGGGACTCATCTGGCATCACATCTTCAAGGATGACTCTGGCCCCTGTGGTGGAATAAGTTGCAGGAGATGAAGGGAAGCTGGAGACAGGGATGAAGACGCTGACCAGGAACATAGTCCCAAAGGAGGCCCCGAGAAAGGGAATGAGGTTCCGGACAGGTTGAAAGGAGAAGCCATGGGATTTGTGGGTGAGTTGGAGACAGGGATGGTGAGAAAGAGAAGAGACAAAAATGAATCTAGAATTTGTTTAATTTTTTTTTTTTTGGCATGTGCAAGGGGATTTTAAAACTCTTCTGGAGGTTACACAGTCTTTCCATTCTGGAGTTTTCTGTATTTCGTGTCCTCTAGAATTTTTGGCCTGAGTAACTGAGCAAAGGAAGGACAACGCTGTCATCACAGCCCTGGCTGACTGACTGGGCAGAAGAGATGGTGGAGGAGGAAAGGCGTGGGGAGAGCATGTCATCTGGGCTGTGTTCTGGGTGAGATCTCGATGAGACTCCAGGAGGAAACTTGAGACACCAAATTGGGTATAAACATCTGGAATTCAGGACATTGCTGGTGCTGGCCCTCTCATGAAAATGGTAGGTTTGGCAGTGGGTAGTTTGTAAAGCCAGGAGGAGAACTAAGAGTGTTGTAGAAATAAATTCTAGCCTTTTGCCCAGGCAGGGGAAGAACAAATGATACTTCAGGAATGGTGAGGGCAGGAGAAGCTTTATTACTCATGCATAAGATCCCAGACCTGGGTAGCCCAGTAAAGTCTGAGCACCTGTTTAAAGACCAAGTGTTCCTTTTATACACAACTGTGTCCATATCTGTCACATGGGCAACATCGTTTTTCAGCAGGCACCACCATTTGTGGCAAAAGTCCCCAGACAAGGGGGCAAGGCAAGGGGGGAAAGATGCAGGCATTTGGGGATGGCCTTGGAGAGAGAGACCAGCTTGGTTGGCTGCTGACCTTGTAGATAAGAGTGCCCTGGCCAGGAATCTTGAAAGGGAAGGAGCTGTAAGGAAGCAAACTTGTGAATGATGCCTGCATTGGAATGTTCATTGCACCTGGGCTGGAAGTTCTGCTGGAGTCTTTATTATATTCATTTGCTCAGTAATCTGTTTTCTCATCAAGAGCGTGAAGAGCGTGTGCAGAAACAAAAGAGCCTTCAGGATGAGGAGATAGAAGGGGCGAGAAGACTTGAAATTCTGGCACTCACTCCAGTGCTGGGAACCCACAGGAACACAACTGTATGTATTGAATGAGTGCATGGTTGAGGCACAAACATGATCACACATCTCCCTTGTCACGATGTCTTCATCATCAAGAGTCCCCATGCCCCAGGATGACACTGAAACCCCTTAGCATATTTATAAACTGGCCCTTCTTCAGACTCAGCCCGGGCTGGGCCTTTATTCCAGGTCCAATGAACAGAGGAAGAGACCCCTCCCCAGCCAGGACCCTCGGGGGAGAGGCCCCTGGAGAGTCCCTGAGGCCCTTAGCACGAGCTCGTGGAGAGGCGAGCTGAGGACAAGGTTCAACAAAAGTGGGGCCCACAGGGGTTCCAGGGGAAGAGAAAGTGCTAACAGCACTCAGATGGCAAGAACCAGAAGACACTGCAGCGAGGGCGAAGGAGCACGGGGGCAGGGGAAGAGGAAGAATCTGGGCCTGGTAGTCCTGGTGGCGCCAGAGTAGAGAGAGAACATGTCCACTGCAGAGACTGCCCGGAACTGACCTGTTGATCGCCCTGCTTCACACCAGCTCCTCTCCAGTCTTTCCAATTTCAGTAAAAACCCGCATTCCCAGTTGTTCAAGCCAGAATTTCAAGTCTTCTCGCCCCTTCTATCTCCTCATCATGCACATCCATCTCCTCCTCACGCACATCCATGTCAGTTCCTTCTGCCTGATAATTATTCATTAAACATCCACTGCATTCCTCTCCAGTTCCTCCAGCTTAGTCAGAGAAGGGCCAGTTTATAAATATGCTAAGGGGTTTCAGTATCATCCTGGGGCATGGGGACTCTTGATGAAGACATCGTGACAAGGGAGATGTGTGACCATGTTTGTGCCTCAACCATGCACTCATTCAATACATACAGTTGTGTTCCTGTGGGTTCCCAGCACTGGAGTGCGTGCCAGGACCACTCCTGGGAACACACAGAAGCCCAGGCCTCATGGGGGTGCATTCCAGTAGGCACGGAAGATGAGGAACAAAAAGCTTTGCCAGAAGGGAATGGTATTTGAGATGGCGACAGCTGTTGGAGAGAAAAGCAGCTGGAAGGTCTTAGGCCAGGGGTTCTGGTTTAAGTGGGGCTTTCTGGTGAGGGGACACAGAGGTAACGTTTGGGCAAAGATTTGAAGGAGTGGAGGGATCCATTCCTGCCAGGATCTGTGAAAAGTACATTCAAGGCAGAAGGAGTAGCAGAAGCAAAGGGCCTGGGGAGGCCACATGTGGGGAAGAGCAAGGAGCCCGGATCCATGGGAGGGAAGGGAAGATTCGAGGCGAGGCTGGGTCTTGCAGGTCAGTGCACAGAATCCCCTGAACGAGATGGACAGCCCTCGGGCAGAGCCTGCTCCCCACAGCGCACTGACACCCCAGACTCTGGCTGAGGCTGTAAGTCAAAGACAAGTCACCAGGAAGATGAAGGAGACCTTGTCAAAGCGTTTGTGTGGCCACGGGCCACTGTCCGTGCTATCAGGTCTTTGATGTAACATTATATTCAACGCACACCCCACTCTTCTAAGACACTGGGATACACACGCGCCTGCTTCTATCTAATGTGTGACTGTCTCTGGACTCAGGTAAGTCCTGGGGATGAGCTGGGGAAGCCATTGGTGGGTGAGCTTTCTGGAAACTGGGGAAGAACGCAAAGGTTATCATCATTTCGTCATGGAGATGAGTTGTGTGTGTGCGCATTCTTGTGTGCCGGCGTGCACACAGGTGTAAAGGTCACACAACCTGGTTGGTTCATGCCAGTATCAATGGGGATCATTTGTCCCTTTAAACATTTGTCCCTCTCCTATCTGTTCAGGAAGAGAGGACCCTGACACGGAGCAGGGGGCACATAGTGAGAAGACTCAGCTATCAGAGAGACCAGGTCCTCCCACAGCAGGGGAGTGCTGGTGAGGGGTCACCAAAAGCCATCCGGGTCCCTGCCTTGCAGACAGGGACAGCCCATCGGTCTGAGCCCTAGCAGGGAATCCTTGATCTTGGAGTTACCAGTTTCCAGGTTTGAAGAAATAAATCCCTGTTCTTTATAAGCGATCCTGTCTGGCATTTTGCTTGAGCAGCACTGTTTGGACTACAACGGAAATAACACATTGCACTCAGTTTCCTCCCTGCAGGGGAGCCTGCGGGGGCTGTGTTTGTATCAGGGCAGAGAGCCAGTGGGGAAGGATGGAGCATCTGAAGGGCCAAGTGGGTGCTGTGTAGCCCACAGCTTCTTTGGTACCCATCATTAGTGGGGATTGAGCAGGAAAGGAAAATCCTGAGGGACCACAGGGCTCCGGGCAGCCTCTGTGTGCACAGATGGGACACTCCTCAGGGAACCCACAGAAACAAGGAGGCCGAGGTTCTTGGGAGGAGGGTTCTGCAAAACAAGAAGAAGCTTCAAGAGCCTCTGAATTGGAGGTTTTGGGGATTTGAAGACTCCATTGTGAGCTGAGGCTTACGTGGACCCTGGGGACGGTGTGTGTCTTGGAAGTACATCTGACTAGATTGACTGTGCTAGACTGTTCATTGTTGTCATCTTTTTAGTCCTCTCCACACTTACATGGGATTAATTATAATTCTCACTTGAGTGGCAGGGAAGCTCGAGCTCAGGGGCAGTAGGTAATCCTCTCACGGTCATAGAGTGACCCCAAAATAGGAACGCAGAAGTGCCTGACTCCAAAATGTGTGCAATTCTTAATAATCCAAGCAGTTATCCAAGGGAGTACCAATTTACTTGTCAAATCTTCATTCAACACATCTGCTTTTAAAAACCAAGAAAATCTCCAACTTTGAAAATTAAGCAACACATTTCTAAACAATGAAATTAGAAAATATTTTGACTGAATGATAATGAAGACATGTCAAATCTTAAACATTGGAGCCAGAGCAGCACTCAGAGAAAATTTTATTGAACCGAATGTATGTATCAGAAAAGAAAAAAATGACCAAAAAATCTAAGATTTAAGCTTCCATTGCAGTAAGTTGAATAAAGAAAGCTCAAGGAACTAAGGATGAATTTCTACACCTCTACTAATACGGAGAAGATTCAAAACCAATTTAAAAAGCTAAAGCTTGCTCCTTTGAATGAGTAGAAAAAACTGATCATCTCCAAATAAGACTGATCAAGAAAAAAGAGAGAAGCATAAACTGCAGTGTCAGGAACGAATGTGCACTGCCAAGCAAAACATGAGCCATGAGGAAGAGGACAAGGAGGGGAAAGTACGTTTTCAAGTCATTCAGAAAAATCACATTCTAGGTTTTATTGTAATTGATCTAACCGGCACTTACTGGTGGAAAACATAAGGCACGTTAAGTTTTATGGTTTAGTCCTCAAAATAGAGAGCACATGTGCTTTGGAGTCCCACAGACCCGAGTTCAAAATCATCCTCTACCTTGAACTAAATGTATGACATTAGGCAAATGATAGAATCTCTGTGAACTTCCATTTTCTCATCTGACAAATGGAAGATAATAATATCAATCTCATGGTGTCGCGCACCAAGCAACTTGGTAGCTCATACACGACAGAATACTTTTCCCAGCATGACCATAATTGTGGCATTTATAGTTTGACTATCAATAGATCCTAAAGGGTTCAAAATGGACCCTGATACAAGGCTGTTCATGCGGAATGTAACATTTTCTGGAAAGCTTGGGTATTTGTCTTTCTTGACTTGACAGTACCAATATGAACCATATTGAAAAATGTGCTCATTTTTATAAAGGAGGCTGCCCACAGATACACAAAATAAACCCTTCATATAAACATTCACTAAAATAACTTAACATTTTCATTATACAATTATACAATGATTTTTTCTTGAATATTAGGACATCAAAACAAAAACTATGTTAACACTGGGGAGAAAAGTTTCCTTCTCCGGTGTTGACACAATGACAGCAGCTCCCCTCAAATCCTCAGCTCCCCACTAGTGTGTCTCCGAGGCAGGCATGGTGATGGACAGCAAGAGTGCCAAGAGCTGAACCGATCACGGCACTGTCTCATACTACAGATTTGCATTGTGAGCCCTCAGGATTTTCCACACATTGAATAAACGTCTCCCTGTGACAAGAAAACAAATATGGAGATCAAGAGGCAGTTCAATAAAGGGTCTGGTTCAACTTGCCAATGAAAGAAGCCCTTTCATTATTAACTAAAGAATCCATGGACCACACAGCACCCACCCCATCTCCTGAAAACAGAGAGAACGGCCGAGTCAGGAGTGACTGACTTAAAGCATGGCCCATTTTTTTTTTTTTTTTTTCATTTCAGTTGTGAAGTGAGAAGTAAATACTGCGAAGGGAGTTTGATGACAGTGTGGGGATAAAAATGACCTCCCGGCTCTCACACATCACAGCTCTCGGCTTGAACGCCAACTGATGAGCAAGGAACAGCAAAAGCAGCACCCTGAGACAAGGGTCCCCAAGTTATCTGTTGATGACCTGCTCCCTTCTCCTCAGGAGCTTCTTGAGAGAATGTTGAGTCAAAGCCTCAGAAAAGGCAGTGTTTCCAGACTCTGGAAGAAGGCTGGGAGCCATCAGCAAGAGGACCTCACCTCCTCTGCGCAGAGCAAACCCCAGGCAGGATCTAGCTGGTGAATGACTCTCATTTCCATAAAAATAAGAAAACAAAGCACCAGGGCCCAGAGGGAGGGGCTGGCAAGTGGAGGAGGGGGGTAGAGGGGGAGCAAGGTCATTCATTAAATTAGAGTTAAATTTGATTTAGTTAAAGGTAAAGAAGGATCCTCAGAATAGCTACTAGCATCCATGGGCTTCTGAATACGCAGGTATATCTCTATCCCATTGCTAAGGCCAATGGCACAGTGGCTTGAAGTGTGGATCCCCCATCCTCACCAGTGTGGTGACCAGAGATCCCACAAAAGAATATACTCAGGGAAAGAGGGAAAGAAAGCATCCTATTCTTTAAGAAATTACTACTGTGGAAAAGGAATGCTTCTAAGATGATTCAGGATATTTGAAGCCACTTTCGCTTTATTCATGCAGCCCTCACGGGGGCAGAGAGAAAATGCCTACAAATATTAAGATGCCATTCCTGCCTCAAGAAAATAATCAATTACCTGTCCATATCCTTGCAAGTAAATTCAATGTTTTCTCTTAAAACCGATTTCAGGTCATTTATGGAAGAGCCTGAGCACGTGTCCCTGGAAAAGAAAAAGGCAAGTGTTAAAATAACAAGATCTCAAGGACATTTCTTGAATCTCTTAGTTTCTTCTAAGGAGCAGGCAGGCCCTGGGCCAGTCTCAGAGTAAAGAGTGAAGCAGAAGTAGCTTCTAAGGGCTCCCAGCTGTAGGGGAGCAGAAGGTGGGAACTAGGTGGGTGTCTATTATGGAGAGGAAAGGAAGAGAGAGTGGTTGGGCTGGGTTGAGGGGAGAGTGACTCCCCATCCATCCCTGCCCCAGTCTGTTCTCAACATTCTTGTGACTATGGATACTTTTATGGCTCAGTTCCTAAAATCACCCTGAGAATGAATGAGTCCAAAGCAGCAACAGATACCTGACAGGTTCTTCGTGGATCACCCAGGCTTGTAGTTTGTAAACTTTTGAAGGCAAATTAAGGGCTTCCACACTTCCAAAAGTACTGAGATAAAAGAGATAAAAAAAAGCCATCATAAGCTCCAAACCCCAAACTGAACCCAGCATCCTAGTGCCTGTCAAAGCACAGCAGGCAGGAGGCCACTGGTTAGAACCTACTCTCTGACACTGACCCATAATTTGCATTAGAAACACCCATTTTATTCATTCAGCTTGACCTCTGAATAAAGTTCTCAAAACAAAAAGCCAATTCTGCACATCAATAATGATTCACATACTATTCATGGAGCAGAGAGAAGTCAGATCACATCTTCAGGGACAGAGAAGTTAAAAAAGGTGAAGTGGGGGCAACAGTGTGAACAAAGAGGGGGAATGGACAGATGGAAGGTCATGAGAGACATTGAAGAAAATCACAAAGGTCAGGAGGCGGAGGAGACATGCAGCAAGGACCACTTCAGGGCTGATGCAAATGAGAAGCTGAACAAAAGTACCAACAAGGAAGGCAAAGATCTCCATAGAAGACACAACTTTCACCTTTTGAGTCCAAATTTTCTGTTCTGACTTAAACCAAAAATCATAATCTCTTAGAGACAAACAATCCAATACGCGGCTATGCTGACCACAGAAACAGGATGACAAGAAATCGTGTACCTGTTCCTGCTGAAGGGATGACTGAGGGACCCATTGAGTATCACACGAACCTGTCCACAGGCGTTTTCTGCAAACTGAAAAACGAAACAGAACCTCACCATCCCTCCGCATGCAAACATCATCACATCCCCACCATACTTCCATCCAAAACAGCTCTCAGCTTCAGCTGGTGAAACATGAAATAACCTGCGTGGGTCTAGCTCAGTGAAGTCAGGTCTGTGATTGTCGAGCCCAGAGACTGGAGGAATTTCGCTTCACATGGGAATTCTGGAAGGAGTGGCTCCAATTTGTGTCTGAACAATGAAGGTCAATGTCATTGTTCCCATGGGAGCTAAATTAGGGTCCAGAAGCCGGAAGTGTAGAGACTGAGGGGAACTTACTGGGGAAGGAAGAGAACACTTCCTGGGACCTGCAGTGTAGACACTGCGCATTTCATTAGTGGGAGTTCAGCGATGGGGAATTGGGGGAGCCAAGAGGAGGGAGGTAGGAGAGAAGGTGACACTGAGCCCTGGACAGGCCCAAAGAGAAATGAACAGATGCAGATTATTAAGGAAGCAATTGTAGTTTATCATGCAACAAACATTTAGCTGGCATCTTTGCTAGGCCTGGGGATTCAAAAGGAACGAAACAAAGCCACTGACATGCTTCTCCCAGGAGGCTCACCAGGACCCCCAGAACCTACCAGCATGCCACATCCTTCATATGATCTAACAATATCATATTATGGTGAGGAGCTTAACCACCAGCACTGAGGGCTCTTGAGAGCCCTCTGCTGTCATGAAATTGATCCCTTATGCATGATCCAGGTATGAGTCAGGACACACCCAAAACAGGACCCTGCCCAATCAGTGATACCTGGAGTGTGAACAGCACCCCGAGACCCTCCCTGCACAGCAGACCAAGTCTTCTGTCTCACCTGCTGCTTCCCTTAACTCTTTGTTTCACCCCTTAACTCTTTCTGTTCCCTGCTTTGTCTCAGAATTCTTTCACCACTGTGTCCCCAGCCTACACCCCAATTCTCCCCTGTAATAGGGCAGGAAGCTGGTTGTTTGGTAACGGTAGAGTGTCCTAGGTCACTCTGTGACAAAGGACTGTGTTCCTAGCTCCAAGACTAACATATGTGACTTACCCTGTACTTTTAGCAGATAGTTAATTTACCTGGACCTCCCAGCTGTCACCTGTAAACCATGTATGACATGCATGGACCTACTTCGTAGGGTTCTTGTGAGAAAGGTTTTAATCCATGGGACAGCTAAGGATGGAGCCTGGCACATACATGGTCTGTAATGTGCACTCTTAAGATTGTTCAGGGGAAAAAAATAAATACAAGATTGTTCAGAATCCACATTGGCCAACACCTGGATCAGACAATTAAACCAGCCTGAGTGTCCTGGCAGCCAAAGTCAAAGAATGGATGGATGGGCCCAGGGATTCTCTTCAACTGGGGGCCTGGACCCTCCATGAAACTCCAAAGCTATATGTGAAAATCTTTTGGCACAGTCTTATGAAAGTTTTACTCAAGAAAGATTGAATCCTAAATAGATTTTCCTAAAAGGCCCTGTGATCCAAAAAGAATGAAATCCAACCATTGACCTTTAAGTTCTTTGGTCTCCAGAATTCTAGAATTTCACTGCTGGTGCTTACCCATTTGGATGACACGTTCCAGAATACACCTGCAGCAGGATGAGGGCAGGTGTTGCTCTCTTCTGGACAAGAGTCAAGCTGCACTTCTAAAAGACATATTTTACAGAAAGTAAATGAAATGGAAAAGAGTATAATTTAGCTCCATTCTCCCCCGGCTCTTCCAGCTGGTGGAGACATTTTCTCACTGCTGAGGAGGAGGAAGAAAATGGACACATCAGAGGGGCGGAGCAACATGGCGGCGAGGAGACCCTGCGAGTAAGATCTCCCATTAAAAAAAAGTTAATAGGGAGGAAAAGCGGCAGGTCCCAGTGAGAACCGGGACACGGAAGATAAACGGGTGACGCCAGCGAACTGCCCGAAGAAGAAACTGGCCATAAAAGAGGACTAGAAGGGAGGGAAGCGCAGAACCCTGCTCCCCTCCCCCGCCCACAGAGGCGGCACTCTCCGACCGGCAGAGAGGAGGAAACAACAAACCAAAACGGCCCACAAGAACAAACGACGCAGCAAGCGGGACCGTGAGTGGAAAGGAACTATTGCAGCCACCACACCCCGTGAACGGGAGCTGAGGCGAACCCTGCAGGATCCGCCGCGGCGGCGAGCGAACGGCTCCGGGCGCCATTAGAGAAGAACAAAGACCCCGGGAGACGTGCACACAGCCCGGGCTGCCGGTAAGCCTGCGCGGAAAAGCGGCGCGCTCGGGGAGCTTGAAAAGCAAGTGCAGACCTGGATCGCGGCTGCCCAGGTCCCCGCGCCTGCGACCTAGGCTTGCGGGGAGACGACCTAGGCTTGCGGGGAGACGCACGGAGGTCCTCACTGAGGTGAAGGTCCCTCCCTGAGTAAGCAGGACCAGGCGCCCAGGCACGGGAGCAGGTGCAAAAGGCGCCATTCCCGCGCCACTGAACTGGGCTACAGCCCGCGTCCTGGAACTGAGGGCTTTGAACTGAGACCCGGGGCACGAAAATTCGGGGCGTGGTTTCTCCACAACGGTGGGGCACAAGGCAGACACAGCACCCCAAAGCTGTTGAGGTGTACCCTACCATTCCCGCTCTGTTCTCTGTCCCACGGGGTGGGGGGAGGCGAAAAACAGCCCCCCAAGGACAATAGGAGAGATCTCTGGCGCCACCTAGCGACCAGGAAAAAAAAAGTCACTAACACCCTATAAAACAGGACATTTCTTAAGACTGCTTGAAAAGGGCAGAAGGTTTCTGGAGGACCCAGTGGCCAGCCGGGAAGTTATTCCACGCCAGGCCCCTTCCGACCAGCAGTCTGAGCCCACAGAGGGAGCAGGCACCCACGTCCGGGGCAGACCGGGTGCGCAGAAGAGTGTGCCTGAAACCGGAGGCGCAGGGACTGCATCCCGCTTCGCCATTTGAGAACAGGGACATTTCTTCAGTAAAAACTGCCTAAAACCAGCAGAAAGCTCCCCCAGAAGACAGAGATGGCTCCTGGAAGAGCCAGAGGGGAGCGGAGAAGTTCACCCAAGATGTCAGTCAGTCCGAGCAACACAGTGTCCCAACGCATACGACAAATTAGAAAACAGACAGTAGGGAGTAGAAGAACCACACGCAACCTAAAAACTCCTCAGGAAAGAAGCACACCACAAAAAAAAACCACTCCCCAGATTGCAACGACAGCAACTTGGAAGAACTTCTGAGCCTTCCAGAAAGAGAATTTAAAATTGCCATGATTAAAAAAGTGATAGATCAGAAGAAGGAAATTGAGTCCCTAAAGAGGGAAGTAAGAGAAATGCAGGAGATCAAAGAATTAATGGAGGAACTAAAGAACTCTGGGAAAAGCAATGAAAGCAGAATAGATGAAATGGAAGAACGAATAAGTAATCTTGAAGACACAGAAATAAAAAGAACCAAAACAGAAAAGGAAAGAGAAGTACGAAGGAAAAAGAATGAAGAAAGACTTCGGGAACTATCTGACTCCATGAGGAAAGGAAATATAAGAGTTATAGGAATTCCAGAAGGAGAGGAGAGAGATGTAGGAACAGAGAAAATATTCATGGATATAATTGAAGAGAACTTCCCAAATGAGAAGAAGGAGCTGAAAATTGATATACAAGAAGCAAGAAGAACACCAAACTTCCACGACGAAAGGAAAAACACAGCAAGACACATAATAGTAAAGCTCCCAAGAATCCAGGACAAGGAAAAAATAATGAAGCTGACAAGAGGGAAGAAACAGATAACATTCAAAGGAAAACCAATCAGGCTGACATCAGACTTCTCTGAAGAAACACTACGGGCAAGGAGAGAGTGGAGGGACATAGTCAACAGACTCCAAGAAAACAGATGCCAACCAAGAATACTCTATCCCGCAAAGCTCTCTTTCCTCCATGAAGAAAGAATATGGACCTTCCCAGACAAAGAGAAACTCCGGAATTTCATTGCGACTAAACCCCCACTCCAAAAAATACTACAAGGAATCCTAAAGCCAGAACCTCAGAGGGACGAATAACAACGAAAGAAGACCAAAAAAAAAAAGTTATTAAAAGAATAAATAAATAAAATCAAAGGAAAGACAAACATAATGGCAAATACAGATGCTAACATATCAATATTAACTCTAAATGTAAATGGACTAAACTCTTCAATAAAAAGACACAGAGTTGCAGCCTGGATTAAGAAACAAAACCCAACCTTTTGCTGTCTCCAGGAAACACATTTAGCTACAAAAGATAAAAATAGGCTCAAAGTCAAAGGATGGAAAACAATCCTACAAGCAAATGGGCCAAAAAAGAAAGCAGGAACAGCTATACTTATATCAGATAAAACAGACTTCAAACTCAAAAAAATAAAAAGAGACCCCAATGGTCACTACATTATGATTAAGGGGACAATACTTCAAGAAGAAATAACACTCATTAACATATACTCACCAAACGAAAGAGCACCAAAATATATCAGACAACTGTTGTCCTCTCTGAAAACAGACATCAGAGAAAACACATATGTAGTGGGAGACTTCAACACACCACTATCAACAATGGATAGATCAACAAGACAAAAAATAAGTAAAGAAACTAAAGCTCTAAATAAGGACCTAGAGCATTTGGGCTTAACAGACATCTATAGAACACTAAACCCAAAAAAAACGGAGTACACATTTTTCTCAAGCGCACACGGATCATTCTCCAGGATCGATCACATACTGGGGCACAAGACAAACATCAACAGATACACCAAGATTGAAATCATACCAACCATCTTTTCTGACCACGAAGGCATCAAACTAGAAATAAATCATAAAAAGAAGGCAAGGAACTATCCTACCTCATGGAGATTAAAAGCCACATTACTGGAAGACCACTGGACTAACGAGGAGATCAAAGAAGAAATTAAAAAATTCTTTGAATTGAATGACAAGGAGGACACCAATATCCTAAATGTATGGGATGCAGCAAAAGCAGTAATAAGAGGAAAATATATAGCAATAGAAGCTCACATCAAAAAACAAGAAAGAACTCAAAGAAACAACCTAATCTCGAAGCTCAAAGATCTAGAAAAAGAACAACAAAAAAACCCCAGAACCAGTAGAAGAAAAGAAATAATAAAAACCAAAGCAGAAATAAATGAAATTGAAACTAAAAAAACAATCCAAAAGATCAATGAAACCAAGAGCTGGTTCTTTGAAAAAATAAATAAAATAGACAAACCCCTAGCCAGGCTCACAAAGGAAAAAAGGGAGAAAGCACAAATACACAGAATCATAAATGAAAGAGGAGAACTCACAACGGACACAGCAGAAATCAAAAGAATAATCAGTAACTACTATGAACAGTTATATGGAAACAAGTTCAACAATCTAGAGATGGACAAATTCCTACAACTCTACAATCACCCAAAGCTAGATAAAGAAGAAATAGAACACCTAAACAGACCAATTACAAGCAGCGAAATTGAAATGGTAATCAAAAACCTCCCCAAAAACAAAAGCCCAGGACCTGATGGATTTACAAATGAATTCTACCAAACATTCAGAGACGAATTAGTGCCTATCCTTCACAAACTCTTCCAAAAAATTGAGAAGGAAGGGACAATACCAAACACGTTCTATGAAGCCAATATTACACTAATACCAAAACCGAATAAGGACAACACAAAAAAGGAAAACTATAGGCCAATCTCCCTAATGAACACTGATGCAAAAATCCTCAATAAAATTTTAGCTATCAGAATCCAACAATGTATCCATAAGATAATTCACCACGACCAAGTTGGATTCATTCCAGGGGCACAAGGATGGTTTAACATCCGAAAATCAATCAACGTTATCCAACACATCAACAAAAAGAAATATAAAAACCATATGATAATATCAATAGATGCTGAGAAAGCTTTCGACAAAGTGCAACACCCATTCATGATAAAAGCCCTTGAAATTCTTGGGATACAAGGAACATACCTCAACATCATAAAGGCCATCTATGACAAGCCAACAGCCAGTATCATTCTCAATGGTGAAAAGCTGAAAGCAATTCCATTAAGATCTGGAACAAGACAAGGATGTCCACTCTCACCACTGCTTTTCAATATAATACTGGAAGTCCTAGCCAGAGCAATAAGACAAGAGAAAGACATCCAAGGAATCCAAATAGGAAAAGAAGAAGTCAAACTATCACTATTTGCAGATGATATGATAATATACATAGAGAACCCCAAAATCTCCACAGAAAAACTAATTCAACTCATCAATCAATTCAGTAAAGTGGCAGGATACAAAATCAACACGCAAAAGTCAGTAGCCTTCCTATACACAAACAATAAATCTGAAGAAGAAGAAATCAAAAAAACCACCCCTTTTATTATCGAAACAAAAAAAATCAAATATTTGGGAATAAATCTAACAAAAGAGGTAAAGGACCTATACAAAGAAAACTATAAAACACTGTTAAAAGAAATAGAAGAAGACACAAAGAAATGGAAAGACATCCCCTGCTCATGGATTGGAAGAATAAACATTATTAAAATGGCCATCCTACCAAAAGCAATATACAGATTCAATGCTATTCCAATCAAAATCTCTATGGCATTCTTCAAAGAAATAGAACAATTATTGATGAAATTCATATGTAATCACCAAAAACCCCGAATAGCCAAAGCTCTACTGAAAAAAAAAGAAGGAAATGGAGGCATCACACTCCCAGACTTCAAACTATACTACAAAGCCATAATCATCAAAACTGCATGGTATTGGAACAAGAACAGACATACAGACCAATGGAATCGAATAGAAAATCCAGAAATAAACCCACAGATTTATGGTCAACTAATCTTTGACAAAGGAGCAAAGACTATGCATTGGAGCAAAGAAAGTTTGTTCAATAAATGGTGCTGGGAAAACTGGGTCGCTACATGCAAAAGAATGAAGCTTGACCACTACCTCACACCATACACAAAAATCAACTCAAAATGGATTAAAGAACTAGACATAAGACCTGAAACCATAAAATACATAGAAGGAAATATAGGCGAAACACTACGGGATTTGCACATCAAAGACATCTTTACAGACACATCACCCAAAGCAGTGATAGTGAAGAGAAAGATAAACAGCTGGGACTACATCAAATTAAAGAGCTTCTGCACAGCAAAAGAGACAATAACAAAAACAAAGAGAAACCCCACCAACTGGGAGAACATTTTTGCACCCAACACTAATGATAAAGGACTGATCACAAAAATCTGCAAAGAGCTGATGAGACTCAGCAACAACAAAGAAAATAATCCAGTCAAAAAATGGGCAGAAGAGCTAAAAAGAAACTTCTCTGAAGAGGAAATGCAAATGGCCAACAGACATATGAAAAAATGTTCAACATCACTTGTAATCAGGGAAATGCAAATCAAAACTACCATGAGATACCATCTCACACCAGTGAGAATGGCACATATTAAAAAAACTAGCAACAACAAATGTTGGCGAGGATGTGGAGAAAAAGGAACTCTTGTGCACTGTTGGTGGGAGTGCAAACTGGTCCAACCACTATGGAGAGCTGTGTGGAGATTTCTGGACCTACTAAACATAGAGCTTCCATATGATCCAGCAATTCCACTCCTAGGTATTTACCCAAAGGACACAGAAACATCCATTCCAAAGAGCACCTGCACTCCTATGTTTATAGCAGCACTGTTTACAATAGCTAAGCTTTGGAAACAGCCCAAATGCCCAAAAATAGATGACTGGATCAAGAAGATGTGGTACATATATACCATGGAATATTACTCAGCATTCAAAAAAGATAAACACATGCAATTTGCAGCAACATGGATGGCGCTGGAAGGGATCATGCTCAGCGAAATAAGCCAAAAAGAAAAAGAAAAATACCGGATGGTCTCACTCATAGCAGGAATCTAGAAAACTTAAATAAGGGACCAGGAAAATGAATATAAGAAAGTGAAAATCAAAATCAACAAAAAACTATGAACCAGAGACACTTTTTGGGGGTGGGGGGCGGGAGGGGAAGGATTGGGGTCAGAATGGGGCGTTTGCAATTGTATGGGGGAATATAAAAATAAAATTTAATATTTAAAAAAAAAAAAAAAAGAAAATGGACACATCTCCGCCCATTTCAATAGTGCCCTCAAATCCCTTCCAGATCCTTACCTTGCCCTCTGGGCCCAAGGGGAGCACAGTGACCAGTTCTGAGTCTTCATGCTGGGAAATTGGCAAAAGCTCACCTGGCAGAGCAGCCCCAGGCTCATCCCACTTCCAGGAAGACTTAGGTGTGAAACTAGGCCCTCAGGGGGCCTCTGGCCACCTGTTGCTCTGTCTCCTGCCAACATACTATTGTTGACAGCTCTCCTCCCCTCCTCCCTCTCCCCACACCCTTAGCTTCCAGACCCCCTGAGTAAAATGTCTACACCCCCTGCCCCATCTAGACAAGTTCCACCATTAGAGAGTTGTGAAGAACATGAAGAAAATTTCTGTGTTGCTTAGCGTAAGGATATTTGCATGAATGACAAATATTTCCCTTTATTGATGTATAACAGACAAAGTCATAACATATTTAGATTATAAAACCTGATGACTTGATATCTGTATATATTGTGAGAAGATTCCCCATCAAGTTGACTAGCACATGCATCACCTAAAATGAATGTTTCTGTTTTCATGAGAACATCTAAGACCTTCTCCCTTTGCCAATTTCAATCACATAACACAGTGTTATCAAGTGTCATCACCTCGCTGCACACAGACGCTCAGACCTTCTTTATCCTGTAACGCGCAGTTGGTTCCCTTTCACCAGCCCCTCCCTAGCCCCTCCACCTTCCAGCCCCTGCTGCATTTTGACTCTGTTTTTACTAACTTCATGTTTCTGTTTTGTCAGACTTCACATGTGATGTCATGCAGTATTTATCTTTCTCTGTCTGGCATCTTTCATTAGCATGATGCCCTCCGACTGACACACGCTGTTATGGAGGACAGGATTTTCTTCCTTTACGGCTAAATAATAGTCTAATATGTAATTATATATATGCGTGTGTGTATGTATATATATATATATACACACACACAGACACACACACACACATTTCCATTTTCTCCACTGCTTTTGACTGCACAAACACTTACTGTGTTAGTCCTAAGTACACAGAGATAACAGAAGTTCCCACCTCCAGCGATCATGTGATCTAGTATCTTCAAATAAACCAGAGAAACTTGGGTTGGGGTGGCCCGCAGCACACTAGGGGAGGCTGGTGTGGCCCTCAGTAAGGTTTCCTGAGGAGAAAACACCTTCTCATATCAAGGTGTTTGGGTCTTTCTGGGAAGATATGGAGACACTGAAAAGTGGCTGAGACCTAAGGTTTCCCCAGCCCCCTTGTTCTCGGGATGTAGTCTTGGTCCCAGAGTTCCTGCTGCTGGTCAAACTAAAATGTAGAGTCAGGCAGGAGGCCCCTCACCAGGACAAAAGCCTTGGGATGAGGAACATACGGGAAAACCAGCATCTGCTGAACACAGCAGCAGACATTATGGCCAGGTGAGCCCAACCAGCTCGACCACCTGGACAGGAAGTCAAGGGTCACAAGGTCTAGAGAGAGGGAGGTTTGATCAGCAGCTCAAATGGAGCCCTAGTCACTGCTCCTCCCTAGTCGTGCCAGACATTTCTGCATCCCCAATCCACCTCCGCACCACCCCCATTCCTCCACGGACCTGCCCACCTTCCCTGAGCCTGATACCCCATAAATGTGAGATGCTTTGGGGGGCATGGGCTGCACATACAGAGGTGTGAGCCCCTCTTTGTGTGTGTGTCTCTCTCTCCTTGGACTCTGAGTTGTCTCTCCTCTTTCCTGCGCCTCTCCCAGTGCTGCTGCCCTGCAAGGTGACAGAGACACAAGGATCCACACCCCAACGCGCTCCAGCTGCCCTGTGGAAGGAGGACTTCATCTGGGTCCCGCCCTGGTCCTCACCCTGCTGTAGAATTCTTTCGCCCTAAACGCTGTCCTTACAGAAAGAAAACACCAACTATTCAGAAGCCGGCTATGTCTGTCCTCCCAGAGGAGATACTCAAGGAACAGGGGCACCCCAAAGCCCGAAGTCAATTTTTACAACACATTTGAGGGCCAAAGCAGGCAAAGCTCCACCGAACTGAGCTGTCCGTGAAGGGAAAGTGGTATCAGGTGGGGTCCCTAGGACTCGTTCCAGCACATTGATTGGGGCCCCTGGCAGAGCCAGAGCTTCTTCACCCTGAAAATGGCCAAATCGGTCCCTCACCTGAAGTCTTTCTGTCTCCACACCACGTGAGGCCATCAACAATGTGGCCCAGGAGCATGTCCTCCAGGGTGAGCAGCTCCCCCTGGTAACTATGTGCCAGTTCTTTTGTTTTGCTCCAAAAAAGGACCTAAGAATAAACACACCGCCCGTTGAGAAACATGCAGTAAATTTTAAAAATCCACAATTTCATTTTTTTCATTATATTACATATTTTTTACATCACTGTTCATTTTTGTACAATGTCTGCTTTCACCTCTCAGTGTAGACCCCGTAAAATTCCCACCACCAAGTCACATAGTCCCTTGTGCTCTTCCTTCCCCTGTTAAAAATCCACATATTTTAAATGAAAGAAAAGCATAGAAATTTTCAGAGTAAATCCTACACAGTAAGGGTAGTTGTTGTGTGTCTTACTCACTTGGGTGTGAAAGGGTGGGTGAGAACCCTTGTGCATGTATGTGCACATGTGTGCGTGTGCTCTAGGTCACCATGTGAAATGAATTCATTATTTTGCTCATACTAAGCAAAATCTTGTAACAAATCTGAGATGGGAACCATCTGGAGGAGGCATCAGGAGATTCAGAGTTCCTGAAGGATCAGCAAGCCCTTTTGTCTACCGGCTATTTCTGGGAGATGAGCTCCTTGATGCTTAGAGGTCCAGCCTCTCTGTTTCTTTCCCCAGTCTGCCCTCTTCACACACACAAGGAATGAACCAATGCAGCGAGTTTTCTTCAAGGCCCCCTGAAAGCACACGGAGAATCAAATTTCAGAGCAGTCGTCTACTCCAGGGACCTGTGGGTTCTGAAGAGCAGGCAGGGGAGGGTGGGCTGGGAAGCCCAGGCCGGGAGTCCCACGGCCTTAGGAAGCGTCACCATTCACTGTCTGCCTGGCCTTGGACACCAGAGCATCGCTAACCTCACCTTCCCCATATGGAAATGGGCAACAATGATCCCAGAGCTCCTGGGAGGCCGGGGTTCAGAGGGACAATGCAAAGAAATCACAGCCTGGTCATTCACCCCCCTCACCCCCACGTGCTGTCTTGGGCCCGGGGGACTCTGCAATAGCTCCAGCTTCTAACGGTGGATGGGGCTGAAGATTTGGGGCTCACTGAATTTCCCCCTTAAATGCTGACTTGTCATCTGGATGGATGTAGTGATGATCCTGCCTGATGTAACAGACATGACATGTGCTGACACTGCAGATGCCTGACGGATGGAAAGATGGGGCAATTGAGATAGAGCAACTTCAGGTATCCAGGAAAAGGAAACCACTTTTCATGAAGACATTGATAAACAAACAACAAGAATCCAGGGTAGATAAAGCCCCAGCTGTGCAGAGAGGCCCAGCTCTGTCAAAATGATCAGTGGGTCCTGATAACAGGCCTCAGAACAATGGCATTAATAAAGGCATGAAACCTGAGGCAAGGTGAGATGCCACGGACTCCACCTAGGGTTTTGAGATCTATGACCCTGATTACCTTGTTGCAAGGTATATGTTGATTCACCAGCTTCATTACTGGTTGATAGTCTTCTGAGCTAAAGTGGCAAGGGTCCTTAGAAGCAACCGCGTTCCTGAAAGCCTCCTCTATCTTTTTGCAGTCTTTATCTCCTCTGTGAGATAAAACACAGACAAAAAAACATGAGTAATTAGATTTCAAACTTTTTTAAATTTAATTTTAATGGAGGCAATCTTTGGATGCCCCTACCATAGTGTACCCACCACCAAATCACCCAGAGTCCATCGTGCCCCCTTCCCTGTTTGTTTTCATCTCCCATCTCTCCCTCTCTGGCTGCTTCAGTTGCAGAGTCAGCTTTCAAGGGTTAGTTTTAAAGCTTGTCTTTTTCTGACTCTTAGTTTAGTTTCTCTAGTGACACCATCCAGTATTTATCTTTCTTCTTATGACTTATTTCATTTAACTTGACCTCTTGTAGCTCTACCATGTTGCTGCAAATGTCATGAGTTTATGCTTTTTGATCACAGAGTAATATTCCATTGTGTGTATCTATCACATCTTCTTGATCCACTCCTCTGTTTGGGGCACTTAAGTTGTTTCTATAATTAGCTATAGTAAACAGCACTGCAGTCAACATGGGAGAGCAAGTTTCCTTTCCATAAGTTTTTTTGAATTTTCTGCATACATGCTGAGGAGTGGAATGACGGGGTAGTACGGCAGGTCCATAATTAATCTTTGAGACATCTCCATACTGCTTTCCACAAGGGCTGGACTAGATTACGTTCCCACCAGCAGTATAGAAGAGTTACTTTTTCTCCATATCCTTGCCAGCACTGGTTGTCAAATATAATTTTGGAGCATAATTACCCGGAAAATCACATTGAGGAACATTGACTAGCACCAATTACTTCACATATACAACACTTCTATGTGAGGAACATTATTCTCCTGACCCTATAAGTCCCCTGTCCTTGTGGAGCTCACTCTCTGTAGAACCAGATAGTAAACAAATCAACAAATAAGGGAACAAAATAAGTGCGGATTATGGTAATAAGCAAGCAGGAAATAAATGGAGGGGGAACAAGAGGAGAAGACGGGATCAATGACCACTTTCGGGAGAGTGGTCAGGAAAGGTCTCCCAGAGAGGTCTTCCTCGCTGAGACAGCGATGAGGAGGGGACACCACACAGCAGGGGAGGCCGTGCAAAGGTTCTGAAACAGAAAAGAACTTGCCAGTTCTGAGAAACTGACAGGCAAAAGGTCTAGGAGCAGTTTGGGGAAGACTTAACCTATTATATTAATAAGAATGTTTCATGGAGAGCTAGAGTCTTAGTCCTCTAGAGCTTCCCCTTTGTCTCAGTGACAATTAGTCCAGACTGAGTGCAGATATTAGGGTTCAAGATCTGGGGCACGTCCTTTCTCTTTCTACCACTCTGCTCGTCCCCACAGACTCACCTATTGTCCAGTGAGTCATTCCCTTCTGTTCATTTCTCACCTCTTCTCTCTACCTCTGACCTACCAGGTAGGTTGTCTCCAGGTGTCCAAAGATTTTGACTTTTCTGATTGTTCTGCTGAGCCTAGTCCAAAGGAGGGAAAAGACAGAGGAGGTAGACCAGTAATCCCGATAAGTGCCAGTGTGGTCTGGACCAGGGTGGCAGCAGTGCCCATGGTGAGAAGCAATGGAAGAGGAAGGGACTCTACCAAGGGCTTCACTTGTCCTGTTTAATCTCACACTAGCTTTTGGGGGCTGGGGGAGGGGCAACCTGCCATATCCCTGATTTGGAGCTACAGAGGCTCAGAGATCAACTTGCCCAAAGCCAAATCATTTGAGTAGCAGAGCAACCTCACACTGCTCACTGCTGAACAATGCTGCCCCCTGCAGGAGGTGTAGAATCATGGCGCGTTCCCCAGAGGGAGGCAGCTCCTACCAGCATGAGGTCCTGAGACCTGCAGAGGGGCTGTCTCTGCCCCAGAAAGGTGAAGACCAGATGTAAGGTGAGTGAACGAGTCAGGTTTTCACGCTGCTGGCATCTGTGGCTGTCACCTGAGGCCTTGAATGCAGGAGGCACTTGGGAGCGTGGGCGTGGGCAAGTGTGCCTGATGTGGGCACCTGGAGCATGGTGCAGGCATAAGTGTGCACACCTGGGCCTGGACACCATGGATGTAAGGGCGGTGACCTTCAGTGCCAGGAGAAGGGGTAAGAAGAGGCGGCTCCAGCGGAGCAGCTATGAGAGGAAGAGACCAGGAGAGAAGCCAGAGAGAGTCCACAGTGAAAGAGTAAAGATTCACTGCGGGGGGGGGGGGGGGGGGGCTCCCCTGGTGGTGCAGGCAATTGAGGGGGGGGGCTCCCCTGGTGGTGCAGGCAATTGAGCCCAGTGCTGTGAAGCTGTCCACAGCTTCTACAGCGCCGGTTGTATCCCAGCCGGCCAGGGAGGGTTCTGCATGGCGAGCAGACCTCTCCTATCTCGCCCCTGCTCCCCTCAGCATTCAGTCTGCCTGTTCTGTTCCCCACTCTGTCTCTGGTGAATCCTCTCACCCTCCCTGCATCCCTCTCACCCTCTCACGCATCTGGCCTGTACTCGGGTTCTTGTATAAATAACTAAATTAAAAAAAAAAAAAAGATTCACTGGGGCCTGGAAGCCCTGCCAGCCACCTGGCCCACCAAACCCCCAGCCTCCTGCCTTGCCAGCCTTCAGCCTTGCCCCCAACAATGGGCAAAGAAAGAGCATTAAAGCCTGAAAAGCCACTGAGGGCTCCAGGACCCTCCTTATCCAAGTGCCTAAATCCACGGAGATCCCACCCGGAGCCTTGCGGGTGCTACCCCTGAAGAGGGCACCCCTGTTCCCAGTGGGAGATAAGTGGCTGGGGTGGAGGGGGGAGGGTAGGAAGGGTTAAAGTCTTACACGAAGCTGGACAACTAGCCATGTTTTGGTGATTCAATCCATTTTATACTTGTCAGGCTACTTCAGGCTTCATAACTCTGTGCTGTCCCCACTCTCTAACCCACACTCGTCCCGCAAATAACACACACATCAGGTCCCCATCGTGCAGCACCATCACCCTCCTAATATGCTGGCCCTCTGGCCCTCCCCCCCAGGAAACTCTCACACTGTATGTCCACACCCCTAAAAGTACTTAGATATTGAGGGGTCACTCATACTTTTTCCATGAATTTTCTTGCTGTCAAGTCCTACAGGCAGATTGTCTTGGCTCACAGAAAACATGCAGGTTCCTTGTAACTTATTCACTGAGTATAATTCCAAGGTTTAAGCCTTGACAAACCCACAGATAAAGTGAACCTGATCCCCTAGAAGCCTTTGACTCAGCATAATTATTAACAGCACCCCCTTCTGCACAAGAATCTCAAACATGGTGGGTACAATGGATGGCTGACATTTAATTACTGTAATTAAACATTTCATTACTGTTTCCTCCGAACAGGCATCATGACACCATCATAGCGCCCCGTGGTTCCCGCGCGCCCCGTGGGTGCTCCCCTCACAGCCCGTGCGAGCTGCCCAGGATGAACGGACAACACACACTGTGAGCTGCTGACCTCAGGTGAGAGTGGAGGGGCCGCTCCTTGACACGGGGTCTGGTGCCTGTGGCTCCATCCACAGCTGGGGGCTCTCTCCTGAGAGGGAGGGAATCCCTGGGGAGCTCAAGCTGGGGCTCCAGGCTGAGGAGGCCCAGAGGAGGGGAGGGGCTGGTGATGGCAGTTTCTAGAAATGACTCCTGGAGAACTGGTCTTCGCAGCCTCTTGACCATTTTGAACTAGAGGCATTTCTCTCCCGCACACGCTTTGCTCCCCCCACTCCCTTTACTTCACTGTTACATTGGGTGACATTTGATTTAGGGATACTCTGAAGATGACAGGAGGAACACCCCACCCTGCTTCCTCCCTCCATGGAGTCCTCAGTTACCTGCAAGTAAACACCTGTGAGGACTGGACACTCTGGAGGCCAACAAGGTGCAGGTAAGACCTCTGGGGTCTGTTACAACAGAGAACCCCCCAGGAGCTTTCACTCCCTGCTTGTTCCCTGCCAGCACCACCTCAAAAAGGGGTTCTGGGGGGAGACAAGCCCTGGGAAGGGAAACCAGCCCAGCGGGAGGGTCTCTGGGGCAGATGAGCAGCTCGCTGAGGGGGTCATGAGGAACCCTCTGGAGGTTTCCTGGAGCCACATGGTGCTGCTCCTTCCCAGGGTCTGTCCAGGTTCTGGGGCTGATGTCTCAAGTGTCCCTGTTTCCCGGTCACAGATTTCGGGGCGCCCAACCGTGGGGTGGCTGGTTTGTGTTCCTGAGGAAACCCCCTCCGCGATCCAGCGCCCCTGCCCCCCCCCACCGCACCCCCCGCGCCCCGCCCCGGGTCCCCTGCGCCCTCCCTGCGCTTCCAGGCGGGCCCGGCGGGCACCGGGGGGCGCTTGCTCACCCCCTGAGACGCGAGCCCCGCGGCCCCGCCCCGAGACGCACCCGCAGCGGGGTCGGGGCCCGGGGGTGCGGGGGACCTGCGGGGGCTGCTCCCGGCCCGGCCCCGAGGCGGGTCCCGCGGGGGCGGCGGCTGTGCGCAGGGCCGGCCCAGGGGCTTCCCGGGGCGCGGGGTCCTCAGCCCGGACCCCGCTCTGCCCGCCCGGCCCGGCCCAAGGGCTTCTCCCCGGACCCCGGACACAAAATACTTCGTTTCGGGCCATTCACACCTTGTGCCCGCGCGAGCCCAGCGCTGCCCGAAGTGCCCAGAGGTGCCCGAGGTGCCTGAGGTGCCACCTACCTGAGCGGGGCACCCGGGGGAGGGGCGTAGTCTAAGCATCGCCGCAGGACCTTCTCGGAGAAACTCTCCACAGCATTGTCAGAAACACTCTCCTTCCTCGGCCACGCGCCCCAGATGACAAAGGCCACCGCGATGATCACCAGGTTGCAGACACCCACGCACAGGCCTTTCTTCTTAGCGCCCGCGGAGAGGTCGCAGCAGGGCTTCTCCCTCGACAGGGGCCTGAATCTGACCTTCACCATGGAGCCCGCGGGGGCGGCCACGCTGCAGGAGAGGCGGCGGGAGGGGGGAGCGGACAGGAGAGGAGGGAGAGAGACGCCTGGGGGGCGACTGCACTGCACTTCCGCGCTGCTCCCGGCCTTTTCTTGGTTTCACTTTCCCTCTCAGCCCCCACCTCCCAGCCCGCGGCTGCGGGACCAGCACGGAAAGTCAGGGACTTAAGAGCTGACAACACCTGCTGCCTCCAGACTCCCGAGCAGAGGGACCCCGATGCGCCCCAGGGAGAAAGGACCCCCTCACCCCAGATATCAGCCCCCACACGCCCCCTGCCCGGGTCCCCAGGGCCCTTGTGCTGCCCCCACAGCCTGGGCTGGACTGCAAGGGCGGCCTCTTCGCCTCTGCCCCAGCACAGGCTCCACCTGCCCAGGAATGGGCTACAGCCCCTGTCAGGGGCCAGTGCCCCTCAGCACCCCAGAAAGACTCCCCCTAACCTTCCCCTTCCCTCAAGTGGCCTCAGACCTAAGGCCAGGCTGCAAACCCAGCTGGACCTCCCACTGCCTGGGTGACTGGAGCTAGTTACTTGGCCTCTGGGCTGAGATGTGAAGCAGATGACAGCAGGGCCTCCTGCACCAGGTCACTACGAGGATGTGCTGATTCCTCTACACAGAGTGCTCAGCTCCACGCCTGGCGCTGGAGAAGCCCTGGTAAAGTTCAGCTATCCCACCTGCTCCCTGATGCTGGGGGTGGGGTGGGATTTTATGACCCACTGGGTGTGCTGGGAACAAAGCCCTGCGTGCAGGAAGCACAACAGCAGGGCATCAATAAGCAGTCAGGAGGCTTTGCCCAGACAGCCTCCCTTTTCTCCCTCAAGGAACCTGAGCACAAGGACACGGGACATGTCAACAGACACCTCAGGAGAATGACAGCTCAGGCCACAGGACTTCCTGGGCCAAAGATTTGCAAACAGAGGGACTAGTACCCACTTTCTCCTAATCCCAGAGACAGCAGGAGCCACCAGAGCAGGGAGGCAGGTGGAGGGAGGCAGAAGGGGAGAGAGATGCAGAGGCAGACACAGGGCAGGTCACCCCAGGACCTGCAGGGGGAGGGAGGGCTTGGGGGCTGTGGCTGTTACTATTCACCCTTTCAAGGTCCCCACGGGACTCATCTGGCATCACATCTTAAAGGATGACTCTGGCCCCTGTGGTGGAATAAGTTGCAGGAGATGAAGGGAAGCTGGAGACAGGGATGAAGACGCTGACCTGGACCATAGTCACAAAGGAGGCCCCGAGAAAGGGAATGAGGCTCCGGACAGGTTGAAAGGAGAAGCAGTGGGATTTGTGGGTGAGTTGGAGACAGGGATGGTGAGAAAGAGAAGAGACAAAAATGAATCGAGAATTTGTGTCATTTACTTTTTGGCATGTGCAAGGGGATTTTAAAACTCTTCTGGAGGTTACCCAGTCCTTTCCATTCTGGGGTTCCCTGTATTTCGTGTCCTCTAGAATTTGTGGCCTGAGTCACTGAGCAAAGGAAGGACAACGCTGTCATCACAGCCCTGGGCTGACGGGGCGGAGAGGGACGGTGGGGAGGGGGGGAAGGTGTGGGGAGAGCATGTCATCTGGGCTGTGTTCCGGGTGAGATCGCGATGAGACGCCAGGAGGAGACTTGAGACACCCAAAGGATATAAACATCTGGAATTCAGGACATCGCCGGTGCTGGCCTGCTCATAAACATGGTAGGTTTGGCAGGTGGGTAGTTTGTACAGCCAGGAGAAGATCTAAGAGCCTGTAGAGAGTGTGCCTCCGTAGAACGGCGCTCCCCGACCCCCAAAAGCCAGTCCTCCTGGCCTCTCTGTTCCCACCAGCCCAGACTCTGCCTTGGCATTGGATCTTCAGAGATGTCATTCCCTTCCCTGTGAACTCCTGCTTATTATTCTGCTCTCCTTCATGTGACAGGCCTTTCCGGGCTCCATGCAACTCCCAAACTGAATGAGATCTCCAAATTAGGTCCTTTCCTGGCTGAATCACACAAAGGTCAGTGGATGTCCTGATCTCAGGCAATCCAGATCTCACAGGCTCAGACCTGGACCCCCCGGCTTGGAGCACAGCCTCTGAATATTTCACCCTCAGGAATTGAAGTTTATTCTCTTAGTATCCTGGGACGCATGGACGACCATCAGTGTTTGTTGAATGAATACATGAATGACACTAGTCCACCCTTTCAAAACTGGATTCACAGAGTTGGTCTCACCGCCCGAGATCTACATGAAATCATATGAAGATGGGACAAGAAATGTTGGTTTTCCCCAGGACTTCATTTCCCTGATTTCTCGGCTGCCACCCCAAATACCTTGTCCCAGTGTGAACTTTCTTTTGTTTGAGTATCGTGCAAGGCCCCCAGTCACATAGAGCGTAGTAAAACTTGCCACCTGCTCCTGATTGGACTGAGCCACACATATTAGGACTTGCTAGCTTGTAAAATGAAACAGCAACAAATAAAGGATATTTGTTTTGACAATATAATAAAATACTTGAGTAAAAGTCTAACAGAACAAGTCAACACTATGTTCAATATTTTTTTGTTGCTGGACTTTCACCACATCATAAAAAGGCAGCATTCACACATATACCTAACCACAGAGGGAAAAGCCTGTGTTGTTTCATCAAAAGCATAATGTATTATATTTTCCACTGCGCACCTGGCTTTCTTCACCTGGTGAGACATGGCGAGGACTCTGCCTATCACCTCTGATGGCTCCACCCCCTGTTTTAGATGATCCTACTATTCCACCGCCTAGTATCTACTCAAAGTTCACTAACCAGATCCCCACCTTTGTTATTACATTAAATATTGGAGTCAATGTCCTAGAGTCAGCATATGTGTCCTGTGTCCCGGCATCCACACCCTTTAATGTGGACTCCTTGGATGCCAGGGGGCAGGCTGCTCACACTGGCTGGAGCTGGGCTATCTGCAGGTGGCAGGCAAAGCATCAGCCTTCACCCCAACCACCATGCCCTGAAGCCTCTGAGTCCCTCACGGATGTGCTCTCAGAGGCACTGGAAATTGTGCATGGAGATCACGCTTCAACACAAATCTTTTTTCTTTCATTCCATTATTCATCCATTTGTGCATCAAATATTTAGTAAGCGCTGACTGTGTTCCATGAGCTATTTTAGGTGCTGGGCACACAGCAGCTAAAGGAATTCAGTCCTTTCAAATAATACTAGTAATGAATTCAAATAAAGAATTGAAGGGTTACTTTCCTAGTTGCTATTACTTCAACCTTCCCAGGTCATACTTGTATTTCCAGACATAGTGAAGAAAACCCCCCAGTCCCACAATGTTTGGAAGGGCCCAGGTAGAGCGCCATGGTCAGGCCTCTAGGCCTTAGTGCCCTGCAGTGTTTCCTGTTATGGCACGTGTGGTCATGGGCCCCTGAGGTGTCCCGGGGGGGACTGGCTCTTCTGCATGTAGCCAGCAGGTGGCAACTCCAGATGTCTCACTAGTGACACCAGGAGTGACTGGCAGGTCCCAAGGACTCACCCAGCTAACATCAGGCTTCAAGGCTGCTGGGAGAAGCAGGTAAAAGGTGGATTAGATCAAAGTTGGGCCAGTCTGCATTATTTTTCACAAATTAAACATTTATTCTTAATCCCTGCTGTAGAGAAATGTGTGTGTTCTTCCCAAACAGCATGAGAGGCTGTTGACAAGACGGATGCTGCTGCACGCGCTCACCATGGGGATTGTTGATACAGGCCCTGCGGCCTGTCCTGGGGCTGCTGTCAGTTGGCTCATCTCATCACTGTGATCAGCCGATCCCGACACTGTCTTCCCCAGGACACGGGCCCCAACAAGCACCACTCTGATGGTCGCTGTTTTTTTTTTAAAATGTCAGAAAGTGTTTGAGTCTTGTGGGCCTCCGCCCTGGCCTTTGAGCTCCAGGAGAGCAGAAACTGAGTTTGTTTTGTTCCTCCGTATCACGCCGGCCACCCTAGGATTCTGCCGCACAGCAGACATCCCAGGAGTCTGAATGAAGACCAAGAACAGAAGAAGGAGCAGGAGGAGGAAGGGAGGAAGTCACCTTGAACGATGACCTTATTCCACCCTCTTCTCACTGACAATCTTTCATTTTGTACAACTGGGTTCCTTAGGTGCTTTTTCTTTTTAAGATTTATTTTATTTATTTATTTATGCATACAAAGTTGGGGTGTAGGTCAGAGGTGCAAGGGATGGGGAGGTGAGAGGACTCACCAGAGAAAGAGTAAGGAGAGCGGGGAGCAGAACAGGTGGATCCACTGAAATCCACTGCTGAGGGGAGCAGCGGGGAGACAGGAGAGGTCTGCTGCGCCATGTGGGTAGCTCCCTGGCCAGGTATCGAACTCAGGCCACAGTGGCTGGCTAGAGCTTGATAGTGCTGAGACTTGCACCCCTGCACCACCAGCAAGGACTACCTTGGGTGCTTTTTATCTCCAGGGATGTTGGTAGGGGTCACAAAGATACATCTTCACTCAGCTCCAGAAAGTAACTGGTGTCACTTCCTGTCTGTGGCTTGTACTGCAAAATGTAAGTTCAGTATGTTTTTATGAAGGCAGCAAACACTTGGCCTGCCTTAAGAGACAGACTTGCAGCTACAAACCACAATGACTAAAATCAAAATATTGGAGATGAGAAAGAAAACCTGTTGGTTAACTGGGTGTTTGTGGACTTGCTCTTCTTTCTCCCAGGGACTTTAAAAGGTACGTATTACAACCATCTGTGTCCACAGCCCTTTAAAGAACAGATCTTCTAGTGTCTCTCTCCCAACTCCCTCACCCCTTGTATATAAGCTAAAACATTAGAAATTCATGGCTGTTTGGTGGTTGTTGTTCATAGAATATTTTCTTTCAAAACCCATTTTCAAACTAAAGATCAAGTTCACCGTGTAATTTTGAAGCTTATACTCCTTCGCAATGAATGAGGGCATTTCTAGACACTGCCTTTGGAGTCCTAGAGCATCTATCAATTAGCAGGATATTTGCCCTGGCTAAGGAATTCAGAGGTCTCAGATTTCCTTACCTTTGTTCCCGGAAGCCTGGGTTGCTGGACTGAAAAGCTGGAGTCTTTGAAAAAAATAAAGAAACTCATTCCTTTCGATGTGAAG